AATATTCCCCAGATTGGTCTTTCATGGCCTTGGGTGGATCATCAATCCCATTTATGCTATCAGTTTTGTTTTTGTCTAACTTTTTCGAGGAATTTCTTCCTACAAAGGAAGTAAAGGTTTATTACAATATATGGATACCTATGAAGACTAAATTTACACCTCAAGTCTACTATGATAACTTGCGTTATCTATCACAATAAGAGAAGCTCCCCGCAAACTTGGTATCAATTGTCCTTTGAACCATTTTTCAAAATTTTCCTAGTTCATGTTATCATCATAGTCTCCAGATTTGCTATTAGCTTTAAAAGTTTAAGAGGCTCCTTCAATAAAACCGTTTTTAATTCCAGCGTGAACCACAATTTATCTGCACCCTTCTCCAGTTTTTATAATAGCTGTGTTTACTGAACCGTCTTGCCAAGTTTTTTTGCATATGCTACCCTTACTAAATACCCACGTTTCACCAAGAAAAAAAGGTTCACATAAATTTTTTCCTTTGTGTTGGTGGTATATACGTAACACCTTGCTAGGGTTTTTGGGATCTTTTTGTGAACTACCCTGACTGTGATTACGTCCTGACTACAAAGGTTTTGTAAACACAATGTCAGTTTCGACCGTTTTGGCAAAATCGCGCTTGCAATGTAATGGAAAAAAGTAACTAGATTTCAAATTACCCGCGTAAGAGGTACTTTCTACGTCATCAACATGTCTCTTCAAGGTCATGATATACCCTAACCTAATCACTATAAAAGGATCTTGGAAACAACCATTTTATAGATAATCTCCCGGTATGACATTAAATTTATAGAACTCACTTTTGTCTTTATGTAACTAATTCTAGACAACATATTTTTCTTGTATTCAAAGTCACTAAAACTTGGACTTTTTTGTAGCTTGTAGACAGATCTTTCCGAAATTTTCAACATTTCTGCGGCCAGTTATGTCTTCCTTTTTTTCTTAAATTCCAAACCATCTTGGTTTCTATCAAGATAGTCTAAAATATTTAAATTTATTTGTTTTACTTGGTCGTTAAATCACTTAATTTTTGACTGGGACAAACGACAAAATTTCAAATTTGACATAAGGCTCTACGTGCTACTCAAAATTTAGTAATTTTTTGTCTCACACAAAGTGCATAAGATAGAAAGACAAAAAGTTTGACTTGCGGTAATTCCAGGACTTTAGCAGCAATTTGCTACAAACTAAGGAAGAGTATGTAAGAAAAAAATACGAGCACAGGTTTGTACGTCCTCGGTGTACGCTAGGAAAATATTTTCCTTCCGGTGAACTACTAACTTCGTGATTTCTCCACGACTAGAATATGAAAAGATACTCGTAGATCTCCCGCTTCCACCTGTCTATCCATTTTATTAAACAAGTAATCATGTATGCGTGTCCTTACGCACAACGTGCGTAAGAAAAGCCTATCGCACAGTTAGGGATTTTCCGATTTAATTTAGAAGGCTACCACGGTCGGAGTCAATAGGGAGTCAGTGCCACTTTGTACCGGGTGTAAGGGCAAAATCACCAAAAAGTGTCAAATATAGTGACTTTCATGTGGTAAAGTTGTCCCTCTATATGCGGCGGATATATTAACAGTAAATTTCTATTCAAATCAAACAAAATGTAAAGTTTGTCCAGAATTATAAGAATTTTATGGACTCCCAACGTTAATTCGTTTTACAGCCCAGGCATCAATTCTATTGTACAGGTAAAGAGCCTGTCAGGGGAAAGCCGATGCTTACTGTACCTGAGTTCGTCCCGCTCTTCAGCTGTACAATAAAATTGACAACAGGGCTATAAAACGAATTAACTTTGGGAGTCCATAAAATTCTTATAATTCTAGACAAACTTTACGAAGACTGATTAACCAAAGCAGCTGACAAATACACAAAACACAAATGTCAATTGGGCTGTTGCCAACCTTTGGTTACAAATTCGTGCCCCTTCGGCGGTGGCGACATCTACTTTAGCTTTGCGTGGAATACCCTATAGATAATCGTATAGCTCCTAGAAATACATAGTATCGTCATCTATTGTTGTATGAGTAGAGCAAATGCAGTTGGTAACGCAAAAATTTCCCTGGTTTCGAACCAAATTTTGTCAACAGTGTGTTGACAGCACATAAACCGTTGTTGTCACGTGGTCGTGACGTGTACGTTATTGTTGTTTAAAGTTAATTAACATAACTAATAATAAATTATTAAATAAGATTTTATTGATTAAAGTTTATAATTTATTAATATTTATCTAATCAAAATTTGTGTATAAACGTCAAACTTTACACCAAACATAAAACCATTTTAAATTTTGAGGTCTGTCAAATGGTGCCAGTAATTTTTGTTTTTTTAGATTTACGCCAGATTTGTTCCACGGTGGCGATACTATGTGTTTTCTAGGGGCTATATACCCGATACATGATCGTTTTCCGGGTTGGGACCGTGTTAATTGAGTTTTTGGCTTCTGGTATGGTTGGCATACTGAGTTACTGTGCTCTTTTGCCTTATCCTAATTTCTTAACCCTGCTCCTGAAGATGCCACTTACGAAAGCGTGCGAAACGTTGAGCCCAAAAACTCAATTAACACGGTTCCAACTCGGAAAACGATAATGTATTTTTTTCACTAGCAGCCATGAAGCATGCAAATGTCGACTCATTTAGAGGTATCAAATTCAACTTTTGCGACCACGGGTTCAAAAAGAAGATTGAGGTTATGTACGCAATACTTGATGTGATTATTTCTTAAAAAATGAACACATGTATGCTACTAACATTACTTGAGTATACGCATGGTAGTAGACGGTAGAAAATAAAATGATTAATTCAGCGACAAGTGTAAACGGTTTTCTTTGTGTTGAAGATTTAGATCAAGTTTGATTAGAAATTAAAACAATCATGTTGCGTCAAAAAATTGAACGTTTATTTTTTCAATTTATTGTCTTATGGTTTCTACTAGTGAAAAAAATAGTATATTAACCACGGTTGCAAAACCACTTCTAGACCTCGCGCTTCAGAGCACTCGACGCTGCGCGTCTCGGGTTCTAATTTGCGCTCGGTCTAGAATGCTTGGCCTTGCAACCTTGGCCAATAATATACTATTTCGATTTATTCAATTTAGGTTGGTAGTGAAAATGACAAGACTGACAGGTAAATACAAAATTGTGGATATTGTTAGCGTTGCTGTTAGTAAAAGAGGAATAAATAATCAAAGAATTTTAAAAGGAGAAAACGAAGAAGGTAACATTAACTACAAAAAACATCTGTATTTCTTTCTTTTTACGGATTATACACTGACCGACAAAAAAACCGGCCAGCCTGAAAAATTTCGCAAAACCACTTTAAAAACTATTAATGTAACTAGTGGTCCTTATTTTCTTAAAGAACCATTTACTATTGACAGGTGATGTACAAATTAGCAAAAAAAAAGAAGACAAATAAACGCAGAATTAAATTTAATTTAACAAAATAACAGAAACAGAACAAGTAATATATTTTCTTAATCAAAACAATAAAGGAGGCTGTTGTTGTAAACAGTGTTTTTCATCATTTGATTATAAGTTTGACAGTTAATACACGTTTTCACGCGAAAACAATGCCGCGTCTCTCAAATTCTCGCTCTGTTTCTGTTATTTTGTTAAATTAAACTTAATTCTGCGTTTATTTGACTTATTTTTTTTGCTAACACTATAAGAGCCAAACGTAGCGACTGCTCCTAAGTACCTGATGTACATATATGTATAATGTGTGTATTCCAAATATAATGTTAAAAAAAGATCGAAGGGAAAGGGTGTGAACTGTTTTGTTTTGTTCAGACCATTTGTCCACCTTTCAAGTTTCATATGTGCTACATCAAAGCTATGCAAGTTGCTCCAACTTTTGCATCGCACAAAAGAGAGCATTTGCGGCGAGTTCCCGACGTAGAAACGAAACGAGAAATTAACACATTGCTCCTCTTATTATAATGGCTAAAATGGTAGTTAGAACTGAAAGTTTAAATGCAGATTAGGTATTTTTTGTGCAATAACTTAAACATTATTTGCAGTTTTTTTGTTATATCTATTTATGAAGAAAGTGAAACAGTTTGTAAAACAAAGACACATAAAAAATAAAATTATTGACCTAGGAGAAAGTGGATTTATGAGGAAAGACTATTTAGAAGCACTGTGATAATGTAAAATTGTGCTTTTAAGAAAATTTCTTTGTTCATGTCTAACCGCTATAACCAAAGTGATTTAATGTCATGCAACTGTGGCGCTCTTAGAACTATCAAATTCTTAATAACTAACCCGACGATAAGAAAAACAGTCTAAGTAGCCGTAATAAAACTAAGATGGTGTAACTGGCATGTAAGATACAAGAAAATAACTTTAAACTTTACATGCGATTTTTAGGGCAACTGTGTCTATAATGTTAAGAACTTTGCACTGAAGAATGTCCAAAAAAACTGCTGTTATTACGACACCACCGTACGTTGGTTAGTATTGCAAATACGAAATAATGTTGCACGTTTTATTGTTTCCTTTCATATTATGTTCAAAATTCACCTGAGAAATCAGTACACGTAAAAGATTTAATTAATACACGTTAAATGTAAATATTAGTTAAGGGAATATCTGAAAGTTTACTTTTCAAGTTACGTTTAAACTGAATTGCTCTTTCAAAGTCATGGATGTTTTGAGGTGCTAGATTAATTACATCGTTTACAAATTATTACATTATATTGGTGAAGACTTTATTCAATGATTGTTATTAAATACTAAAATATCGTTCAAATTATAAAACGTCCATAAACCACTAATCCTTTCACTTATACAAAGTATCCCCTGTTGCCAAAATAATAAAGTTATCGACAGTTATGATTTATTAGCTTTGACTAAATCAATAAAGTGTATTTCATACATCACAGAGATGCCATATATCGCAACCCTTAAGTAAATTTGCTACTTCGTCAAAATTTTTCTTTTCCTTCAACAACCCATACACACGCAGACAGAATTTACTTACGGTTCGTCTGGTAATCTCCCACTTGGCCGCCGAAGTGATTGATGAATTTCCCTGGAACAACATTTAAATTTAGTAAAACTCCAGCAGGAAAACAGGAAAAAAATCGCCCTAGTGTGTGGCGCAATTACGCCGACTTTAAACGAGTGAATTCCGCTAAATAAATTAGCACTAGGGTCCAGAATCAAGCTGCGGCCCCGATTTTTTGCGGCTCTTTTACCTGGTAATTAATAACAGTCCGGCCCAGAATTTTCATAAATTAATTTGACGCTTTGTTGTATTTTTTAAGAGACATAGAGGGGGGTCAACGTTTTATTACGGCCTTTGTGTGCTAATCTCGGTCATTTAGTATCGCTGGAAAAATTCTGGGTTTTTGCTAAAAAATTCCATTATATAAAACTCGGTAATGAGAAGAACTTTTCATTAGTCTTGCGTGTTGACATTGCGTGAGCTCTCGGTGCTACTCTAACGCATGCCCTTTGAACTGCATGATTTTTGCTCCACGATTCAATAAATAATCCGCTTAGATAGAGATTAATTTATCACCCGTCTGGGTAAATTTTAACTAGAGAACGCGAACAGTAGCCGAATATCAAATACGCGTTTTTCGGTTTGGGCATATAAAAAGTGTTTAAATTTATTTCGGGGTGAAAGTGGGGTGTTGATAGAAGGTTATACATACAGAGTTTAGCGGAGACTGAATCAATTGTTATATATATAATTCTGTCGACTGTTAATTTGCTCATTTTGACTCTTCATTGAATTTAATTAATTAAAGTTAACCTGATTTAACTGTCTGAGCTGCCAGTGTCACAAAATAGTTGGTCAGTTTTCAGCATTCGGTAAAAGTTAAACGTTATTTAATCTGTAATATATAACAAAATCGGTAACATAAATATTAAAACACAAATTAATAAAAATCAAAATTGTCAAAAATAATTACTCAAAATCCGCTAAAATTAAATAAAAATTCTATGTTTGAGAATTGCTTAGCCAAATATTTCTCTCGGACTGATCCGGATTTAGCAACTGCTTACCCGTAACTGCCCATTTATTAATTTTACTGTCTAATTATATTTTCACGTATTCAAATACATACTGAGCGAGCTACTCATTTCAAGATATGTTCTCCCCGTCTCCAGCTTTTTCACTGTTCATATTTTATCAGCCAATGTGTTATTGAACAGTCAATTTGTATTTTCAAACTGACCGAAACTGTAATATACTACAGCCCCTTTAAATCATAGCCATTTTATTTTGTTCGTGTGTTCCTGTGTTCCATTTTTAACACTTATATCATAAATAACTATTTTGTTCTTCTAAAAGTATAGAAATCCACATTCGTGGCTTCAATATGGTGCCGACGTATCTGTACAGAGATAGAATTTTTAAAACCATAATGTCAAAAATTATTTTAAACAAGGTATTAGAAATTTAGTACGATACAATACGTCGGCTGTAACTCACATTTGTGTCGCAAATATTGCTGCTAATTGATCCAAACCAGTGGGTAGAAACAGCTACTTCCCGGACAAGAGCCCCATCCGATTAAGCATGTCAATACTGACGTCATTCCATTTTTTATGAAAACCGTCAGCCGCTGATGAATTTATAACTCTAAACACTAGATAACTCAATGACGAGCTCTTCACTGCAGTTTTAACCTCCTTTGTTCTCATCAATAACCACATTTCAACGAAAGATTGCAATTTTGACCTCACTTGATCTCACCACTGGCACTGGTGAGTGCTGAAATCAATGGAGGTCAAAACTGCAGTCTACAAATGTTCATTGAGTTGTCTAGCTGTCGCCTTATAATTCTCTAGGGTTAGAAATTGAACAAGATTTGAAATAATTTGGTAGCTTAGGCCGCTTCTGTTAAGTTTTAGGTTATCGTAATTTTGTTTGTAACTGTAATTGCAATTATTGTATTGTATTCCGCAGATACTAGTTACACAGCTACCGGATATATAGATAAACCGGAAAATACATTGACCGGCAAAAACAACCATCCAAAATTATTAATTTAACTAGTGATCGTTATTTTATTAAAGAACCATTCACTGTAGATACATGATGTACAAATTAGCAAAGACAAATAAACGCAGAATTAAATTTAATTTAACAAAATAACAGAAACAGATCAAGTAGGTACGATATTGTCTTAATTAAAACAATAAAAGAGACTGTTTTTGTAAACAGTGTTTTTCGTCATTTGATTATATAAGTTTGGCAGTTAATAAACGTTTTCACGCGAATTGTAGCTTTGTTTCTGTTATTTTGTTAAATTAAGTTTAATTCTGCGTTTATTTGTCTTCTTTTTTTTGTTAACTTGTACATCATATGTCAATGGTGAATCTCTCTTTAATAAAATAACGTTCAATAGTTATATTAATAATTTGTTACAGTTTGCCTTTGCGAAATTTTTCAGGGTGGCCGGTTTTTTATGCCGGTCAGTGTATATTGTTACGTTGTACGGGCGAATAAAATTGGCGTGAGTAAAGCTCAACAATTTATTCCTTACTAACTAGAATTTACACAACTAACTATCACAGCGATTATAAAATAATTCCGACGCAACTTCTTTTGTCTCAACTAGCTGAAGAATCCGTTCCCCAAAGGTGGACAGCACGCGGTTCTTCTCGAAACCCTGCGTCACCGCTTCTAGATTTTTCCAGAATCCCCATTCGCAACTTCCGTTTCCAGGCGTTTCTTTAGCTCTCCGTCGCTCAGTCGCATTGAGAATGAATCATCATTGGCGTAAGACCAGAGAGTTCTCGACGGCCATAGGCGTCGTACCGAGGCGGCGTAAGAGTGTATTTCGTAACAATATTATAGATGTTTTGTATGCCCTGTTTGTCTCCCCCTCTTATGCCACCGACTGCTTTGTAACAAGAAATTTGATTTTGATTGTATCCTCCTTGCTTTGTTTCGTTCCTCAGACATGCAATTTCAGTTCTATCGCAATATTATCAAATAATATGTATTCTTTAAAAAATGTAGTAATATTTTTGAATATTTTACAATTTTTTTACAAAATTAAAAATCTGTCTTCAAAACAAGGGTGTTTATGCGGCAAAAAATCGGGAAATACTCGTTGGATTATTTGAATAATTTTCGGAAAGATGCTTTATTGTAATGTGACAAGAAACAACCCTGGTATTTTTGAAAAAATTCGGCAACAAATGAGAAGAAAATTGAAAGCATACATATATCTTTTCAGCAGTTTTTGTAGATTATGAATCTTTACAGGTAATGAATTAATAAAGAGCATTTTTTTAATTTTCGAAACAAACCGTCTTTCGGAAAATAATCCAAAGACAATCAAATTCTTAAAATAACCCAATGTCTAAAAAACAATCCGTATATTAATAACGACTTTTGAAAAATATTAATCAGGACCAGGACGACTAGGTAACTAAAATTGTTAATAGTATTCGTTGCAGGGAACACTGTGCAACACTATAAATTAAAATAACAGTGATATAACTACGCAGACAAAAGTAATAGAACATGATTTTTCTTTTAAAACTAATAATTCTTTCGAATTCTACCCAAGATTTTTGTGAAGAGGAACAAAACAAACGAGTCTAAAGAATTTTTTGATTTCTCGACGAACGTGATGAGTTAATTCGGGGTTTAATTGGGTTACCGCAAGGACCGGTGCTGGCTCCTCTGTTGTGTTTCACATTCACTGCTGATATTGTTAAAGGACTAAAATCTTCCTTCATAATGACGGGTGGTATATTGGCAATCAATAAATGGCCCAATGGGTGGTTGTTGCTATCAAACACTAAGAAAGGGATCGCAATCGCGGACAATTACACTTTTGGGAGTGAACAACTGGTCAGACCTACCTGCTTTACGAACTTGGGGGTTCTAATAAGTTTTTAAATCTTCCATGAGAAATGCTACTACAGCTCTCCAACTACTTAATGTCTGTGTCAGATCAATTTTAGAATTTGCGATTGGTGTTTCGTCTGCTCTATTATCGAGATATATCAAGCGATTAGAGGCTGTCCAGCGCTGGGTTTCCAGAATATCCTTCGGTATTAAGTGTCCCAAATCTCTAGAAAGATTTACTTTGATGGGTAGTTCTTCGTTGGTGAAAACTCACGAAACTTCCTTACCATTGCACGCGAAAATTTTATTCCAAGAGATTTGCACTTTGGGACTTCGAAGAGTTGTACAATATCCAGGCAAATTTTGGCGACGTCATGATTTCTTTCGCGTTCTTCTACTGTAGATATAATCTTGTTGACTATTTTCTATCTTCCATAACAATATCAGTATTGTCAGTTGGCAGTACCAAATCTAATATTTTTAGATTTTTGTTTTTTATTCAATATTGTTGATTTAGGTTGTTCAGAGAACAAAATTTCGATATATATTGTAATGAAGCGAATTTTCGCGGGCCGGAAACCGTGACGCGTACCGCGAGAGCCGGGGGTAAAGCCGGCCTGAAGCTTCAAAGGATGAAGAAGTGTCGTGGCTGCGTTGTTTTTGAAAAACCGTACAACCGTCACCGGTAAAAGTCTAAACCGTCGTGCACGCCTCGTGGTTCCAAGGTCACCGCCCCCAAATCCAGGAGAAGCCCGTCCTGAAGGAAGTCGCCGCCTCGGAGGAACGACCGTTCCGGACGTTTAATTCTTTTTGATTATTTAATTTTTTGTAGTTAATTAGGACTTAGCCGTAGGATTATATTTTAGCCGTGTATCTGGTGGCAGGGAATAAACTCGATTATTATTTAAAATACTCCTTGCCGTTTTATTTTATTCTCGTGTTTTCGCGGGCGCTCACCACCTGAGATCCGTGTGTCCGGCTTGAGAGCAACCCCGGCGCTCCGGAGTACTTCATCCGTTAACCACGAATTCTGTACGACTTATTCAAGCACATGGCATATTCTTTTACAAATTCTTTCATCACTACTGACGTTATTTTTGCAGACTTTACACGCCATTATTTATTGTTATGAATAATAGTAGTACTTTACCAAAGTCCAAATTAATTTAAATCTTGTGTTGTTAATAGTTAATTTTTTCAGTACATTTAAC